CTGCCGTTTCAATTTTTTTTCATTGAACTGAATAGATTTTTTCGCTTTTCGGAAAATTAGGAGGTACTGGAAATTTTTGAAATGTACATGCTCTGAGAGCCATTTTTCAGGTAATGCCGCATACCACCCCTCCCTCCTCTTCGCCAAAATTTCCTGAAATCTCTTTCGCTTTCATTTCAAGAGTATCTGCTCAAAATAGGGGATTGGTTTATTGGACAGTACAGGTCCCGCCACGATAAGCCGAAACGATAGAAGTGGGCGCAGCTCAAGTCGTTAAGTTTTTTAGACGTACCTATCGTGTTAATTCGAGGACTTTACTCTAAAACCTAAATGGTACTGAAAAATATTTTTACCCTTTTATCTTTCGTTGCTTCTCTCTTCCAAAAAAAAATTCTGCAACTGCAACTGATATCCTATTAGCAATGCAAATGCAGGTCCATGTGCCCCATTTGTGCTAATTTGTCCTTTTATCTCTCCCAGGAGGATTCCATTAACTATACCAACTCACACAGTTGAGAGCGTAAATAATCTGGTAAGAGAGGGGCGATAGAATTTCCACTAGTTGCTTTCTGGATTTAGCCCAAAGATTTATTATTCAAAACGAGTTTCTGGTAAACAACTATCCCACTCAAAATCTATTTATTTACTCGTTTGTAAGATCTTATACTTCACATGAGTATATATGAAAAATAGTTCCTCGTTGTGGTTCATATATTCGTTTATGATCAGTATTTTTGGTATTTACTTTTCCTACGTAATATTTACTCAAAGTGAATTTGTTTACTAGTTGCTCCGACTACAAAGAACACTCTAATCAGAATGAATTTTTACCCTCATTTCAAAAATCAAGTACTAGAATTATTTTTCCTTTCTTGTTAAATAACTTTTCACTTCTTAATCCGAACTTCAAATCAACCCTTTTCCATTTTCCCTAATCATGACTTTCCAAACGATAGTTGTCAAATCTATATTTTTTATTACTGTTATGTTGTTTTCTTTTATTTTCTCCATACTACGAATATTTTTTATAATTTTCTGTTGATTCTGATTTTTTAAACTTACATATTTTCCGACGTCCACACAAGCCTTTCTAAAGTTGCGAATATGAGCATATATGGAATGGCAAGCTGGGTGATTCTGCTGGCTACGAAGGCTGGGATGATGTATGAATAGTAGAGAATAAACAGGCTCTGAAAAAAAATAATTTTCTGGAGGAAAACATGGTGTTATATGATGGCGTGAATTTTTTCTACAGATTTGCATAGCTTTTTCAGGAGGAATTATACCAATTATCTGTAATGTTGATAAGCAAACTAACAGGAGAAAAAATGACACCAAAAATTACCAGAAGTAAAAAAAACTGTATTCACATTTTGAGTCTGTCAAGCTACGCTTATTGTATATTTTGACAATTTTCACTTTGAGACTTTGATGGGGCTTTGACACCGCAAAACCATGAAACTTTTCCAGGTTTTTTTCTAACATAGATTCGTTCCATATTAGCCTAACGCATGCATAGAAAGTATTCATCAAACCTAGCCTCTCCCCTATAATCTGAGCCCTTCAATAGCAGAGTTTGTTATCGTCAATCACACCTTCTACACAATGACCCCTAATGAGCATGCTCCTGCCTATGATATCATCATTCACAAGAATTAGAAAGCGATTGACAAGGGTCTCAATGATTCCCTCAAGAATTTTTCCCAGAAGGAGACGACAGTCATGTGACTTGCTGGGGATCATCCCTGGATAAAGTCTGATGCGGTAGCTTGATCCAGTGGAGAAAAAACACACGAAGCAAGATTAGATGAGAAAAATCAATGAAGTTGGTGTTATTCATCCGCATAGAGCAGTTTTGGAAAAAAGATAAAAGTTATGGTTTGGACTGAGTCATTGCCTTTCTTCTTGTACGGCTTAGGAAATCAGTTGTTCCTAATCTATCAATACCAGAACCAGGTGAAGTTAAAAAGACTGTAAATAGTGGTACAGTCGGGATGAAAAATTCCATGAACTGATACCGGCGAAAAAATAAAAATCTAAAAAGCAGTTATATACTTCCAGAAAATAGTCAAAATCGTAGTCTTTCAGTTTTCCAGAGAATTTTCATATCAGAATGGGCTTTAACCATTATCAGTTTTCTAACGATAAGTTTGATTGTTTTGAGTACTCTTTCACAAGATTTTTTAGATTTAGGGTCTTACCTCGATCTTCATGAAGCTCACAATCGCGTCAACGCCGAAGAGAAGGAGATACTCCAGACAAATGGCAAAGTCAAGGAAAGCCAGAATTGTTGGGTAAAGTGTTGCTGGTGTGCTGGGAGACTGAAATTAACAATTAGCTAAAGAAGCTGCCAAAAAATGAGAAAACCCATGCAAACACAACTAATGAGAATTTTTTGTTGGTTTATGGGCATTTTATGGTCACAAATCTTAGCCAAACCCTGAAAAGGGCCACCACGTAGAAGATGAGATTGATGAATGATTAAGATTGAATAAAAAGTGCTATACTGAGCATTGTGCAAAAATTGTCATTGCAAGTTTCAAAGGACATTAACGAGCTTACAAGTGAACACATCATCGAGCATTTTTTCAGTCCTGATGGTGCGAAAATATTTGAACTTACCTTTTTCTTTTTTGTAAATAACTTGATGAGGAGAAGATTGGCTGCAGTTCCAAGGCAAGCTATCACACTGGCTAGTGTGATCAATACGAATCGAACGGGCGTATAGGTCTCGTACTGGAAATAAAAAATCAATTACGATTATCAACATCTATTTATCTATATTTCTTTATCCAGTCATTTATCCAAGCGCACTGAGAAGTAAACTCTCCATTATCAAAAAAATATAAAATGATAGAGAATAATGGGAGTCTAGAAGGCTTAGACGATTAGCAACAGCCAGACAGGCTCTTTTTTTTTGGTCATCTATCCAAGTTTTGTCCTTTCTTACACTATGCCCTTTGCTCTCTTTCTATTTCTCTCATTTCCCCACCACTGATGCAATAATAAAGGAAACTCTTTTTGGTAAAATAAACTCACCAAAGGGCATAGAGGGTCATTTTCGCCAGAGGCACTGTCATTGTTGAACATTTCTGCAAAGAGAGGCTAATGAAAAAGAAGCCAATGGCGAATTCCACGGTTAAAGCCGGATTAAGCTATGGATAAAAGAAAAAAGAGATAATTCGATGACGCATAGAATTTTGAGATATGACTGGGCGAAGAAATTCCCCGAAATCAAAAAAGTCAAAATTTGAGGATGAAGATTCCATACCAGACAGCTGGGAAAAATGAAAGTTAGAATCTGGAAAAGTGATATCAGACCAGACATCTGAACTTGAGAATAGGCCACACTCCTTCTGAACAAAAGGGCCAGGCATTCCGTGGGAGACTCCACTATTCAAAATTCAAATCAGAAAACACATTTACGCTCTCTTGGAAGTCTGAGTATGGGTGAATAACATCCCAAGATGACGGCTTCATGGATTTTTTCTCACACAAATCCTCTTCGGAACTCAAAAACAGGTGGCTCGAGCTCATTGATTCATCTTCTTGAACTTTTCGGGCACAGCAATCTGCATAATAGGAATAACGAGCCTTAGACTATAAAGGTCAACAGGAGGTGTGATTTGGCAAAAGAGAGGAGGAGTTGTGCCCTTTCAGCTAATAATAGATGAGCAGTAACTTTGAAATCCACAAAGACTGATAAGATGGATTTTACGCACTGAGTATCTAGAATACTGCTTATAGTACAAATGAGCCAAAACTACGCAACATGTAATAAATTTAAAATTTTAACTTGAATTACGATTTGATTTAGAATCTAAAATTTATAATTTCCATTTTCTAAATGTATTAAACCATACAAACTATACTGAATTTTTTGATAGGTGTTTTTTGTGGACGAGTTACCCACAAAATTTAGGCAAAAGATACACAACTACTTGCATGAGAAGTTGGTTAAATTTGTTTTTATTCATAAATAATTTAGATAACTCTTCTAAAACTTTGAAACTCAAATTACCTTTGTTATAATTCTTGAAAGCTCAGC